AAAGTTTATATATTCATATATGAAGAAACAATTATTTTTCTTTTTCTATTCCTTTCTAGTTTCTTCTTAAACATTGCATTACGAAGGGGAGAACTATGACGTCATCGTAGTGCAATGCTTAAGAAGATGCCAGAAAAGAACAGAAAAAGAAAAATAATTGTTTCTTCGTATATATATATATATAAATTTTCTTTTATAAAATCAAGTGTTGAATTTTTTTCTTTGAGATATATACGATGTTACAAACAACTTATACAGAAGCAAGTTATGAGCAACCAGTGAATGCTGAAACTAATGTAGATTTACAGCATGTACCTACTTCAAATGTTACTTATAAACTTCGAGCAACAGCTAATTGGGTTCAAAAACCATATGAAAAACGAAATTTTTGGGAGCGTCTTGCTACATTTGACCTAGCTAGTGATAAATGTTATGTTGTTCAACCACAAAATACAAATCCACCACCTAATCTTAATGTTTGGCGTGAACGTCTATGGTTAACTGTTATGATTGCACCAGCATTAATTATTCAAGCACTCTGGTATTATATTATACCTGAAAATAGTTTCTTTCATACATGGCATCCAATTGTAGCATTTATTTTCTATCATTTGGCTTTTGTTACTTTTATTATAAGATTAGTTAAACATATTACATATTATATGGATGTCTATGGTACTTTTGATGAATATAAAAGACCACGAGATTATGTACCTGATAAATATGTATATCGATTAATTCTAAGTATTCTCATTTATACATTGGCACGTACTGGTGGTGGTCTAATTTTAGGTGGATATAATCGTTATAGTCCTCCATCACTTGGTCATACTATTTCTTGGGCTTTTCCAATAAAGATTGGCATTTGGTTAATTACTTTAGATTTCTTCTTCTATTTCTATCATCGTGCAGTTCATACATTTCCTTTTCTTTGGAAATATCATAGTAAACATCATTCTACAAAACATCCAACACCTCTTCAATCAATTCTTGCCGATGATTTACAAGAAATTATCGAGATTTTTCTCATTCCATTAACTGCATCTTTAGTTATGCCATTATTAGTACATGAATTTTGGATTGCTTCAACATAGGCAAGAATACATTGAGCAATCCAAAATTCATG